ATCTTGAGAAATATTAATATTAAATAATTAAAAAAATGTGTGATCCTTTTAGAAATTGGAAGAAGCTTTGACATACATACTTATATGTATCTTATACATTTTTTTAATATAATGGCATAGCTTTCAAATACTGTTTTCGTTAATTTTTTATGACAATAGAGTTAAAATTTCTTTATTGAAATCAATCAATTAAAATATGACATTCGAAAAATGTTTCATAAAGAAAAAATATATAGATCCGATAATGACAGTAATTATTCAAAGATGTCTTGGAAAAAAAGTTGTAGTTTGATCACCCAAAGTAGAAAATGAAATGCCATTTGTTAAATAAGGATTTTCGCCAGGTAAGACAGAAGAAGATTTTTGAAGATTTTCGAAATTTAAATTTTTCATTTTCCACAATGAAAAATCGAATTCCACTGGTTAAATAATAGTTTCTTAAGACAGAATGGGTTTCTAGAAATTTCATATTTTCGTTTTTTTATAAAACTTTGAAGTGAAAAAATCGGTAAACTTGCTATTGTAAAATAAGAACTATTAACAATTTGGCAAATATCCCTTCCGGCGTTAGGTCGAAAATTATTTACAAAAATAGTGTTGAAATTTAAAAAAAAAATCGTTAAAGCTATAAAGGGAAGCTACTTTGAAAACTTGAGTTGTGGGGAACCGCTTTGAAATTTTGAATACTTTAAAATCTAATATAAACTTTCATACGGTACCGACTTTGACTACTATTTACAACGTAAATATTGAATTAAAAAACAAAAAATGTTAAAACCTTATCCCGCTAGAGACAAATGGTGAGCTAAATTAATTAATTCAAATTAAATTCATTTTAATTAAATTTTCCGAATATATAGTATATTTTTATGTTGAAAAAATAATAATTTGCTAGTTTTCGAAAAAATTAAATTAATTTTGTTAATTAAGTCAAATTAATTTTGTTTCGCAAAAATGTCAAAAATATAAAAATTGGTTCTATTTGTATAAAATTATTGCAACAAAACTGAGTTATACTCTAACATTCTTAGGGTATGTTCGCAATATGACAAAAAACTCTGAATTTCTTATAAATGAAGAGGAAAATACAATAGATTTGATGGCGTTTCATGCTCCATAATTTATTAAAATCAGTAATCAGATATTCACAAATGATAACCAATTTGAAAAAAAAAAATTGAATACAAAACATCTTCTTGAAAATCATTAAAACTAAATTATATTATTTATACTACTCCCAGTTAATGATACAACTTTTAACGTAATGACGTTATCCATATGTATATCTCCCATACACATATATTTTTTTATTTGAAAGCTCACTTGGAAAATAAGCATACATTTCTTAAACTCCAAATTATATTTTAACCCACTACCACGATAATTTTTACTTGTCTCTTTTGCGCTTATTTTTGGCGACAAAAATTGTTATCCCAATGCGGTATTACGTAAGCGTTATAAGGAAACATAATTTTTTAAGTCAAACTTACCGTTAAAGGCACATGAAATGCACAACAGCGCTGCTGTCTGACTGGTGCAAAAGCGTACAAAGTTGCCAACGACGCGTTTAATTAAGCGTTGTACGCTGGTTTTGCTCTTTATTCCGATATTTTGCGTTTTGTTTTAATTACGCTTCGTATATTTGTTGTTATATACGCCAAGTAACGATAAGTGTTTTTTATTTTAAGTTCTGAAAAGTGTGGTTTTGAAATTAAAAATTAATGTAATTATTATTTAACGCGTTTTCAAATGTGTTTTAAGCTGCGAGGCTTACAGTTCACTCAACAAAAATAAGAGGCTCTAAACAAATAATGGTTTTTTTTTTCATTTAATTTTTAATTGTTTTTTCATATATAATTTTTATATAATTGGGACGTATGGACACTAGCGTTTATTTTTTACAGTTATTTAATTTTTCTAATTTTTTCCGCGTATGTTTCTTATTTTTTTGCACGCGTACTTGCTTGAGTTTACGCTTTTTCAAATATAAACATGAAGGGGGCGAATAATTTACATTTCCGTTATACGTTTTACACGCCAAATTCGAAGAAAACAAGTTTGCTGTGGAAAATTGTACGCGTTTTTCCTGCTGTGTGCCTTTTTTGCTACAACCGAAATTTGTCAAACGGAATGTCTTATTGGCACCCGGCTTCGTTGTCGTTGTCGTCGCCGTTACTAAGGCTTAAGCCGAATTATTCAAGCGACAAATTGTTAATTTTTAATGGCATTAATAATTTGCGTTTATCAACAGCAGCAGCTCCTGATTTTTATTGAATATAATTTACTTTTTTTCGCTAAAAAAGGAAGGACAAACTGCTTTTTAATATTCGAAAACACTTTCAAAGAAATTTCTTAATGCTTGTATATTTTTAAATTACTATTTAATTACTTTTCAAAATTGTTTATTATTTTTTATTTCTCAATAGCTCAGTAGTATAGTTGTATAATAATATATTGTATGTACTGCACAACCGTAAAGACGCTTAGGAGCTAAACACGACCAACTCGAAAACACACCAAAACGGTATTAAAACCTCAGATACGTTTTAACTTCGCAGATAGTTTTGCGGTAATAAAGCTAACTGCCGCCAGTAAGGTGGCTGCTGTCGCTGCTGCGTTGGCTGCTGCTGCTGCTGGGCGCTCGTGGCTGCGACGCCGTTCGATCGTGTGTATGCTGCGAAGATCACTCACTGCAGCTGCGTCGGCGGTGGCTGTAGCTATAGCTTTGGCACTGACTGTGGCTGCAGCGACGACCGTTGTTGCCGATTATGAGGTTCCGCGTACACGACGAACACCTTAAGCCCGATGAAAGGCGATCTAAGCCGTTAGCATACAACGTCAACGCTAATGATGACGACGACAACGACAACGACCACGACAACGAAAACGCGACCAGGTGGACTGCCGAAGCTGCTGGTAGTTAGACGGATATTGTGACAGAGTAACAACAACAAAAATTGCGTACCAAGATGTTGGTCGTGTCTCCACAACGAGAAGTTCACTTCATTGTCACTTAGTTATTTACTTCACTTGAAATAAAAAAAAACTGAAAAAATGGGAGACAACGTCACAATCCACTACGCCCGCTCACTTGTTTGCTTAAATTTGACGCGATCCACCCAAACGACACAAAATATACAACACCGCACAACAACAAAAATGCTCGTATGCACAGAGTTCGCGTTGCCGACGTTGTTTGCAGTTCGGCTTAGTTGGGTTGGATTAGGGTGGTGTTTGGCGAAGGCGATAATTTACACTTAGCCTCATATAATGGACGTGATAATGCGAAAGCGCCTAACTTGACTCGCGTCTAAGTTTTTTTCTTTTCTTATTTTAACAATTTATATCAACGCGTAGTGCTGCGAATAATTTTCGTATTTCTTACTACGTACGGGTTGCTCAGGTGCCGTTTGTTGCTACTACAAATTGACTGCGACTGAGAACGCTCAGTTATGGAATGATGTTGGCTCAAAACCGGACACAACGTTATATTTAACTACTCTGCTCCGATCGAGCCAACGAATGTTCATACACACTCACTTCGGCTATTAACTTCTCGTTCGAGAAAAATACGTAAAACAAAAACAATGTTCATTCGGTCGCGCTTATACGACTCCCAAACACGACAACCAACCACAGCTACGTCAACAACACCAGCACCGACGATGTGCTGTTGGTTAACAATGGCGGTAGCACCATTCGAGCTGGATCCTGTTCGCCAATACTTACTGTAAACACAATGCTGGCAACGAGATTGCCGCGCTGCACGTGATGAGTTGCTATTCGTCGTCGTCGCTGCATGTGGGGGAGCGCTGCCTCAAGGGCGTCGAAGGTGGTAGCGCAGCAACATCAGCAGTAGCAGCAACGACAGAGAAGAGCGTCAGCTATTAAGAGTACCTGCTGTGTTGAAGAGAGCCAACACTCAACTGTTGCTGAGCTTTCAACTCGCGTTTAATTATTGTAGCTGGCTTAAATCTACCTGTTAATGGTAGTTTGTCAGCGCTTGAAGCGTTCTGCTTGCGAACGGTGCACGCCTTTTAACCAATCATAGACGCATCTTTGATTGGTCTGATGTTTTGACGGTGCGTGGTTGTTGTTACTTTAGTTATTGTATAACATTAACTCTCAGTATGGAAATTTTGAAACTAAAGTTCAAAATGAAGTAAAATATTTTTGTATATGAGAATCGGGCGGATATATAATTTAAAAAAAAAATTGTATATATAAAAATTTCATATGAATTCCTTCCAGAAATTTGACATTTATTCTGCAAATAGTGTTAAATATGATGATTAATTTTGTATGAGTGGCTACTTTTGGCCCTTTTAGGAGGGATCTCATCCGACTTAAAGTCACTGAGCTGAAAAATTCCTATTCCAGAAATTTAATTTTTATTGCAAACGTAAAATCGGTCCAAACCTGTAAATTAACCGATAATATAAATGCGAGAACACTTTCGAACCGTTGCCATTTTATTGAAAATTTCTTGAATATGTACTTCAATGAATAAAAGAGGAAGATAATAGCCAAACATTCTTATTCTATTCCACTTAAGAACATCCAGTTTTTATTGACTTCGCGCTACTTGTATAGAATAAAACTTATTTTAATCGTGGAAAAATCCAGTCAGGTCGAAACGTTAGCTGAAAGTTTCATAAATCACTTAAAACCGTAATATCTTTTAATCGGTTGGGTTTAGTCAGACACATGGAAAAATTACAATTTTTAAAAAGCTTTTTTCTGCTAGAACTTAAATTATTTTCATCCGTTGAGTTCTAAAAATTGTAACAGACGTTTTCCTTCGACAGGAATGCCTACCAAAAAGGAAAGGAACACTTCATCTCGTTTTGATCTATATCTAGACAAATTAAAAGAAATTAACATGCACGTAAACATATTTATCTTAAGATATAACATAAATATTACAGAAACATTTTTCAACATCTAATAAATATTTTTATACAATCAACGTTACATCTTATTCCCGTTGTTGAAAGCAAAAGTAACCTCAAGCAACAGTGGCAGTGACTCAATAAATCGATTTGAAAATAATAAATGCAAAAATATTTAAGTACCAATTAGAAGATAACCGCATGTCTTTGGGCCACATAAAACTTTTTTCTTTACTGTTTCCAAACACCCGCTATAGCATCGCAATACTTATAATTTCTGAAAAATATTCTCCTTTGAAAAACCAGATATCTTTGTTTGAATAAATGGTTGTGGTCACAGCCAGCTACATTGTTTGCTTTTTTTCAATTCTTCATAAATCAGCGAGCATTTGCAACCACAATGAATGCGAGAATGAATCTATTAATAGTAGTGACGTTCTGTCGTCAAGAAACTGAGATAACATTCAACTTTTTATGAAGTAACTATCCAGAATGGAGACCCACGTTACTGTGAGTCAATGTCATCGGCCGAAGAGTCAGTTTGAAAATTTACTTATCGACGATTAGTTGAGTGTGGATTGCTCCTAACATACCTATTGGCAAATCTGATTATTTCGTTAGCCCATCTCAGATATGTAATAGGCGCAACAGTTCAAGTAATAGCGCCATAAATTCGTCGGTAATTTTGTTATTTTAAGCATGTGTTGCAATAAATATCATAATAAGGATCCATCAAAAGTATTCTTGCATTCCAAGCTTATCTTCTTAACAGTCCAACAAATGTCAGCATTATTTAGTCTGCTTTGTAATTAAAATTTTATTCTGATTGCTTGAAGTTTTTTAAAATGCAAAGTACATTTTTACACTTCTCAAAAAATTTCTGGCAGAGGCAGATTTTTGGCGCTTTGATATTCAATAGATAAGATTTTTACTTAAGAGTACGGACCGTTACCGGTCCAAGTGAATCCTTGTTACTTGGCGTTTGTAGCATGAAATTCTTTTTAACCGAACCTAAACTATTACAGGCAGTCCACGCTTTATTTTTTCGAGCTCCTCGAAGGTCTAAGTGAGCCAGTCTGTTACTGATTTGTTATTGAAAATATTTTCTCAACTTTATCATACATTTTTTGTTAATTGGATCTAAAATTATTACTATGGCTCGTCTTGTAATTGCCGAGAGTTTTTCATTTACCAATGACGACGTCACAGTGAATATTTTCCATTCTTCAATTTCGCAATTCCTCTACTAATGCGGACTTTCGTTTCATCCAGTATACATATATATTGTGCATCCTACAATTAAACTATTTAACTGCGTAAAGAATATAAGTTCATCATAATATACGTCACTTAAAACGATGCTTATAGATATATGTATATATATTTGATGTATGTATGTATGTAAATATATTTGAAGTATAATGATGAGTATATGAATATGAATATGTGCACCTAAAAAACTTGGACACTTATGAGCCAGTGCCTATTCTGAGACGATCGTGTGCTCGACTGCTTGTCACTTTTTAGTCATGAGACAATGTGCTGATAAATAATTCATAACAATAACAAAAGTCAGTCAGCGCCGGACAGCCATACAAGTGCAATGAATTGGAGGAGAAGGAGTATGACTACGCAAAGGCGTGAAACGCTTTTAAGCGCATATCCATATGCGTAGACTTTTGACCGGCGCACTTACGTAAATGTGTTTCATTCATAGGAAATATTTGGCTACATAGAAAATCTCGAAAACTCGAAATGTCTCATAATTTTGGTATTGCTAGCCATTTATTAAGTAATTAAGTGCGCTTCGGCGTTATTAACGACTGAGCTGTTTTGTGGTGGGAAAAATCGAATAAATAGAATAAGAATGATGCGCAAGCAAGGCAAGAAGCAACAGAAGTGTTGTGCTTAATTAATTGTTTTAAGTTTTACTAGAACGCAGTGACGTATTGGGAATTCAAATCAGAAAACAATATAGATTTTTTTTAATTTTTCTATACCCTGTATATATGTATTAAGTTTGATACGAAGTTTAAATATCCAGAAGAAAATGGCGGGAACCCCTTATACATATAGTATATGTATAATAAAGGGTGATCCATTTCGACGTTGCCTACTTCTGATTTATGCGATGTGTGGGAAGTGGCGCAGTCTTGTTGAAGATAAATGTCTCCAAAATCACGAGCTTCAATTTCAGGCATCAAACAAAATAGTCATAGAAAACGTCGTCGTGGAATTGTTTAAGAGTCCAAAGAGCGAAGCTATGTCGCTTGCGAAGATCGAGCAGCTTCAGTTCTTATACAAACAAAGTGAATAAAATTCAATTTAACATCACGACGTAAAATAGGCCAAGTCGTTTCATACGTCAGTCCGAGTTGCTGTGAAAGGCGCTGAATCGACTCCATGGTCCTCGAGTACACTCTCAGCTATGGCTGCTATATTTTCTTCAATGCATGTTGGACGTGGTCTATTGGGTCGAATATTATCTAGCAATGAATGCTGGATCTGGAGATGCCTTTGTGAATAATATACTCAGTGAGCCGGTTATGTTGACCAAAATTGAGACACGAGCATGAAAGTTGAACGCTTTGTAAAAGCGGTTCAGGTGTAAGTCGTTCCATGATGAAATGCCAAACAAGACTCACGCGTGATCTGTCAAAAAAAAAGCCTAATTAAAAAAGTATCACTTTTCGGATCACCCGCTATAAATGATCAACATCACGATCTCAGTCGATTAAGCTATATGCGCAAATATTTACACGAACCATGCCTTCCCTTTTTGGAATATCGATCAGAAATTTTTCACATGTCATTCCCCACCCAAGAAGTTGCTCATTTGATGGAACCCCTTATTAGTAATCATTATAGCTCCCACAAAAACTGATCGATCTAGATCCAGATAAAGATCTTTTTATTCTCTTTATACTATGTATATGAAATTTTCCTTTCAAGGGTATTCAAGATTCTGGCTAAAGTCTGATTAAATAATTGAATTGTTTAATTTTTTTTTTTTTTTTTAGAATTACATATATAATAAATATGAAAATGTTCCTTACTAGGAATTAAAGTAAAGTGAAAAAAGTTCTGTTTGATGGCAACTAACATGCGCATGTCAATGAGCAGTGGCAAAGCAATTAGCGTGCGCGCATGCGCAAATCAAATCAATTAAATGCTGGCTGTTTGATAAAAGAAGCATGCACATTTAAATGGTGCAAATTTATGCATTGCAATAATTACATAAAAATGTATTTCTGCGTAAGGGAAATGGAAGATAAGCACATCTCTATACAGTTGAGTAATTAATAAACAAACTGAAAAGTGCACGCAAATATGTGACTTGCTGAAAGAAAGCTGAAAGTCACTTGAATGAAAATGCAAATTTTTGAATTTACAAACATACGCACATATGTACATTTACTTATGAGTATTATACGAACGCAAATGCTACATTATAGTCGAATGCATAGTATCAGAAATCAGCACACCGTTGATCAACCGACCAATAATGTG